CTGGAGAGTCCCAAGAAGCATTAACACATTAAAAGCTCTGAAATACCTTGCAGTAAGGAAAACTATTAATCTGCTTTAACCCAAACTTTTCAAAATCCTCGACAATGGAATTCTTTCTTCTCATAATATTTATGATCATCCCTTGAAATCACCATTCCACGGAGAACACTTGGGATAAATGAATCTATTGAAATTCCTCTTCCAAGTCAAGCATGTAATGTTTTGACAGTTCTCTTTCTGCCAACTCGACTCCCTGCCGTGGATGTGCTGTGAAATGCCGGGGCCAACAATAAACTTTCTCTGACAGTTAATCATCAAACCCCAGTTTTTCTTAGGCCTTTCTCGTGACAGCCCTGTGTTCTTTCTATCTTTCTCCATCTTTATAGCCACAGGTAAGATCCCTACATTTTCCTAAGAGTCATATTCACAGTATTTTTCAATCCTGGTTGTAGACTGCATAACTGCAGTGTCTCACATTTTGTAATCGGAGCATTATTGCTAGGATTGATGTAGCTCAGTGGTAGGGTACTTGCCCAGGATGTGTAAGGTCCTGGGTTCAATCTCCGGCCCTATAATTTGATTTCTTATGCTTTACTTTTTCTCTACAGTTAAACTGTGAATTTGTACACTGAAGTTGTACACTGCGCTTCCGTGTCCCCCTGAAGGAGCATGCACAGTGCAATCCACACTCATTCCTTCTTGTAACATCTCTACATCAGGCAACTCCCACATGCTTGGAACTGGTCTAAGTGCCTCTATTAGCTGTGTTTCTTATTGTCGTGACAAAGTGCCTGAAAAAACTACGGAGGGCAGGGTTTATTTTGGGGTCCCAATTTGAGGATGCAGCCTACCATGGCAGGAAAGTGTGGCGGGAGCTTAAGGCAGATGATCACACTGCCTTTGCTGTCGGGAAGCCGGGAGAGATGAATGCTGTAGGGCCCTGCTCGCTTTATCTTTCTCATTCAATCCAGGACTCCTACCATGGGATGGTCCTAACCATATTCAGTCTTCTAGAAGTCTCCCATAGGCACACCCAGAGGTCTGTCTCCTAAAGGATTCTTGATCCTATTAACTTGACAACTGTATGAACTGTCACAGTGCTGCAGTGTTGGAGCAGAAAAGACAGGCAAGTTTATTAGCAGTCTAATAGAAGCTTTATTGGATTGAACTAGGCAACATGTTCAAGCAGATGCTTTCTCTAATGTCAGATAATGCCATGCGATATGCAGTTAGTGGGCATGAAAACTGAAAACATGAATGAAAGGCAGAAGCTTTCACTTGAGAGAGGCAGTCCTGATGACTCATCAGTTAGCCGAAGTTAACCATCAGTTAGCAAAAAGTCAATTATGCTATAAGAAAGTTACAGAAAGCGTGGTTTTAGGTCAGAGGAGGCTGGTTAAATTTGCTGCATTGGAAGAAGAGCAGGAAGGTCAGAGTAGAAGGGAATCAAACTGGTTTTTATTGTAGTAAGGTTGGGATGTCTAAAAGTGATGCAGGAATACATATGACTTTTACCTTATCCTGGACCCCATGGTTATATATACACAAATCACTGGCACTAAAATATACACGATTTGAACCATGAGACCAAATGAAAGCCTCTAGGGAGGAACATGATACAGGTACTCGAACTGTCAGAACTGTGAGCTGAATAAACTTTCTTTTCTTTATAAGGCTATTATTTCTCAGTATTTCACCAAATGTAATGCCCGATGGCCTGATATGCTTGCCTTCACTTCTTCGTATGACCAGCACTGGTGTGGGAGAATTGTCTGTATTCTGTCAATCATGTTTTAAATAAATGCTAATTGACCAGGCAGGAAGTATAGGCAGGAAAACCAGACAGGAAGTAGAGGTGATGCAATGAGAACAGGAGAATTCTGGAAAGGAGGAAGCTGATTCCTCCCACTTCTTCCCAGATGCCAAAGAAGCAGGTTGTGGCCTGCCCCGCTGAGAAATGTACCGAGTCATGTGGCTAGTATAGATAAGAATAATGGGTTAATGTAAGCTACAAGAGCTAATAAGTAGCCTGAACTAATGGGCCAATCAGTCTTATAACTTATGGAGACCTCTGTGTGATTTTCTTTGGGGCTAAACAATGGTAGGAACTGGGAAGAACAAAAAATCCCAACAAACAGGCCCCTTCATGTTACACAGCATTGCTCCATGTGTTTGCACGTGTGTGTTATCTCCTGTCCCCGACATTTTACACTTGAGAATGTAGAGACAAAGAGAGCTTAGGTGATGATATGCAGAGAGTCATATGGGCAGTACAACTGACAGGAAGATTCACACTCGGATTCTCAAGCATCAACGACCAGAACAAACTGGCAGGGGGTTTCACAGCTTTTGGCTCCTTCTCAATGCATGCCATGTGCTATGATTCATCCCTTTTCGGTTACCTCTTCTCTTTCAAGGATATAAATTTATATCAAAAGGCTGAAGGAAGATTATTTTTCAGCCTTCTCTGTGGTCGAGCCAATCTAGTGAGGTGATAAAACCAATGTGATGTTACCCGTAATTCTTTCAAGTTTCCCTTTCGGAATTTGCAGAAGCTTCTACGTCCTGCACGTTGGAATAAATGTTGGTCTCCTGTGCTGGCACACATAACCCCAGCATGAGTCAGTCACTCAATGTTTAAGGCTAGCTTCATCTGCATAGTGAGTTCCAGGCCAGTCAGGGCTGCACAGTGAGAGCCTGTCTCGGAAAACAGAACAGGACAAAACAAAAGACCTTTCGACAGTTTACATTCAGATTGAAAACAAATTTATCCATTGTTTTCATGACTCTATAGCATTTAATTTTGGGGATGTTTCATGGCTTACTTAACCACCACTCCCCCACACATGCAGAGTGTGTGTTTATATATTTATACAAGAAATTTAAAATATGCTTCTTCATTTAATATTTATTTGGTGTCTTTTATGTCATTGCAAATCGTACCTTCAAATACTACATAAAAGTCTGATGAAATGAAAGGAAAATGTTTAGGTTACCAAACCAAAGCTCTGGGTTTAGTCCTCAGTATCAAATAAATGGGAAGAAGGAAGAAATGGAGGAAGGATGGAAAGCAAAATAAACAAATGAATCACACCCAGAGAGACAAAGTCAAGAGGACAGTGCAAGAGATGGTAATTGAGAGACAGAAGGCCAGAGACAAAGACTGGAGAGATGGAAACCAAGTAAGATTTCAAAAGCCAGCACACCAAATGTATGCATGTTTATTATTCCCATATGGTGAGATTAAGATGGATTTTATTTTCTTATATCTACTTTCACCACCTAATTTTCTATAATGAATATATATTACTTTATTATTAAGAAAAATATTTCACAATAAAATATTTCCTCAGAGTTTGCTGAAAGCACATACATTACTGGAATCGCCTGTGGCACTACAGAGTAATCCATTGCAGTTGTAAGGTCTACCAGTACTATGACATTTTTATTGCCTCAGTGGCCCGATAATAAGCTCGCATGATTCCTCTGTGCCCCAGTTTGTTTCTGTTGCTGGGATAAAGACCATGACCACAAGCGATTTGGGGAGGACAGGTCTTATTTCATCTTAGAGCTTACATACAGTTCATCGTGAAAGAAAACCACAGCAGGGACTCAAGACAGGAACCCGGAGGCAGGAACTGAAGTGGAGGAACACTGCTTATTGACTTGTTTCCCCATGGCTTGCTTATCTATCTGCTTTCTCACACAGTCTAGGAGCAGCTGCCGAAAGGCAGTACTGCCCCCACCAAGCTGGACTCTCCCACATCAAGCCTTAATCAAGAAAATTCCCCTACAAACTTGCTCATAAGTAATTTGATGGAGGCATTTTTCTCAATTGAGGTTTCTATTCCCAGATAACTAGCTTGGGTCAAGTTGCCAAAAACTGTCAGGAATATTGATCTGGGTCTCTTTCTCCCAAAATCCTCTGCGTGGGAGGGCACGCAGTTAACTGAAACAGATGATGGGGAAGCAACACAAACTGGCACTTTCTTGTGACTCAATATCAAAGCAAGAAACTGAGAAAATATCTAAGATACCGTTTCTAGGTTAAAAAAAAATTCCTAAAGTGTCAGACATGGTGATATACACTTTTAACTGAAGCATTGAGGCAGATCTCTGTGAGTTCAAGGCCAACCTGGTCTAAAACAAAGTTTAAGTGGAAATTTAGGTGTTATTCTCTGTTCCTTTGTGCCATCTATGTTTATTTGTTTGTTTGTTTGTTTGAAAACAAGATTTCCATGTGTAACCGTCCTGGCTGTCCTAGAACTTGCTCTGTAGACCAGGCTGGCCTCAAACTCACAGAGATTTATCTGCCTCTGCCTTCTGAGTGATGGAATTAAAGGTGTGCACCATCACCTCCTGGCTCTTCATCTGCTTTTTAAGATGTATCCTTTCTTTTTAGTTGCGTAAAATTTCAAACATTTAAAAAATACACATAGTGGGTACTCTAGGATATGTATAGGAAATCATATTTTTATCAGCCACATTCAGTAATTATCAAAATGATTAAGAACTTTCTTTTTAATTCCTTGTCTTGTGCTAGAAGAAATTACAACGTTAATGAAAGGAAAAATTATTTATAGAAAAAAATAGACTTAAACAACGTTTAAAATAAGCAATGAAGTCCTCAACAGCTCCTGGGACTACCAATGCCGTTAGTCTTTCCCAAGGTTTCGCACTGTCTATTTCCAGCCGCCTCCAAACAAGGTCTTACTATGTCACCCAAACAAGTTGGGCTCAAACTTACAATCCTCCTGCCTCTGCCTCACAAGTTCTGGGATTACAGACCCTAGGTACACAACTGGCTCTCCAGAGCTATTTAAAAGCATCGTTACAGTTAGAAAATGTGAGAACTGAACTGAATAAGAAAAAGTCAGCAAGCATGAGGCCACTGTAGAGAAACTGTGCCCAGGAGAGAAGTGCCAAGTGAGTGGGATAGGGGGATGGGGAGAGCACTCAGACATAATATAGCAGGGCCAGAGGAGCATGGTCCCACCTACCCAAGCTGTTGTCACTGCTTGTGGGCCAGGATGCGATTCTATCCCTCAGCTTCCCTTGGCTGCACTTGCCTGGCTTCAGGGAAAGGTCCATTTCCTCCTTCCGGATTTCTTGAACCAGCTGCCGGTGGCACCTTGTGAAGTCCTGGAAGGATACCTTCCCGCTTTCGTCTGTGCCCAGTTGGGTCATGATCTCAGCCACCGACTCTTCCATATTCAGCTGTCGGCAGACCATCAGCAAGTCATTCCTGCAGGAGGTAGGGGGCAGGTGGACAGAAGAAGACATGTCAGGAGGGCTAGAGAGTAGTTAATTAAATAAATATATATTATATATTCTAACAATTTAATTTAAATATATAATATATAATTTAAATATATAACATATTTATATTATATAATTTATACTTATATTTATAAGTATGTACTTATAAGTATATAGTATATACTTATATTTATCAGTATATATTATATATAATATAAATATATGTAACATGTAATTAAACACACACTTATGTGTGTGTGTGTGTATGTTGTTTCCTAAATGCGCTAACTGCAAATTTTAAACTTTCTCATTGCTTCCAGAAAAGTGATCATGTACAAAATCATCTGGCTGAGCGTGTGGGCATGCACCTTTAACCACAACACTTAGGAAATAGAGGCAGGAGGACCTCTGTGAATTCGAGGTCAGCCTGGTCTACATATCGAGTTCCAGGTCAGTTGGAGCTGCATAGGAAGACCCTGTCTCCACCAAAACGAAACAAAAATGTGTTTCGTTTGAATTTTCTATCGTCGGAAGGGTGACGAACTTGTATTCTTTTGTTCTCTTTGTCTTCCCATCTCTCTGAGCTTTCCCTTTTAATTTCTTCTGAAATCGAAGAACTTAAATATCCTTTCTTTGTACCTGTAGAACGTAGCACTGTGACTCTGTAAGACAGTGCTCAGAATGCAGAAAACACACTGTTTCTGCCATTGATGGGCTGGCCATAACTAGTCTGGCTTTAAAAGAACAGCGAACGTCTTAACAATCCTGCTTTTCAGTTTCTTGGGCCACAGCTCATCTTGGTATTTCTGGACAGTGTCCCTTAATCTTGTTGACATCATTTTCACTTACCTCTGACTTTTTCTGATTTTGAGAATTTCCCACGTCCCATTACTAAATACTCATCCCTAAGATGGAGAACAGGCATCAAAAGACTCGGCAACTTTCACAACTGGATATAAGGAGAAAGTGAAGTGGGTGGACCTAAGACAGGAAAGTGTTCAGGCATCACTGGAAAAATATGACTAGTCTATAGTATCTCACATTTTAAAAAAAAATGGAAGAAAAATAATTTTTAAAGGAAAAACAGAAGCAACACTATGCCTACCAAGAACATTTATCTGGCAGATGCCTGTTTGGTTCTTGACACTAGAGACCTGTTATTTCTACCAGTGTCTTCCAGGAAACATTTTGTTAATACTGCCTCAACTATAAGTCACAGTAAAGTCAAAGGATTATAGAATGTAAGAGTTGAAAGATACTAAAATAATGGTTTGTGGTAATAAACAATGCTAATAAATACCCTGTCTTGATATGCCTCTAAAGTGCAATTGTCTTGAAGACCAGATCAATCTGATGTTTGCTGATTGATACTTGCCACCTCCTCTCTCCCAAGCCATCCCTTGCAAGTTTCATAATCTGGCCAATGCCAGCATGATTTCTCCAAACTCCCTGACCCACAGGCTTATGTACATTTTAAACACTCTTTCAGTCCACTCTACCCCACTCTTAGTTTCCCCTTCTCCCTACTCCCTTCCCCAAGTTCCTAGTGTACAAACGACATCAAATTTTAGTTGACCTTGTCTCGGAGATATTGAAGGAGTTAAAGACATGCTATTTCAAAATATCCCACATGAGCAGATTGATTATTTCAAGCTGAAGTCCCCCAAGAAACTGCAACTTCAGAAATGGTCCCTGGCCCGTATCTTCCTGCATATAATAAGTCATACACATTCTTTTGAGGGGAAAGTCTTTCCTATATCACTTGGGAAAGATCCTGTACCACAAGTAATATGACCTGCAAGAAAGAAAAATAAATAGTTCTTTAAAGTAACCCTTCCTTTTCACTAGCTTCTATACTCCATCCCACCCCTGCCTGGCACATCTTATTAACACTTTAGAGTCATCCAGTCTCCAGTTTATTGGTTTTTGTCTAAAAGTCAAGCATACTCTGGTAATTTCTTTGCACTTTACTCTCCTGCTAAGATCCCCAAATAAATGTGAAAGTAAAAGTTTCATGTTTTTCTATTGTTAAGCAGCTCTTGTATTAAACTGGCCGTTTAGAAATCCGGTTCAAGAACTCGAATAAGAATGGGGTGGGGGCTAGGGAGATGGTTCAGTGGTTACGAGCATGAGCTGCTCTATGGAGAACCTGAGTTCCATTCCCAGTGCCCACAGTAGGCAGCTCACAACAACCTGAAGCTCTAGCGGCAAGGTATCTGACACCTCTGGTCTCCACAGGTATCTGTAGTCATGTGTGCGTGTGCGCGCACACACACACATGCACACACACACACACACGCATACATGTATGCACACACGCACACATACACACATGCACGCATGTATGCACACACACACAGACTTCCACTTAATTCAAAATAGTTGAAATAGTCACGCTTTCTTTTCCCTACAATACTTTAATATTAATATTTACTGTGCTTTTCTATGACAGTCCCTAAAATCTTGCAATTTATGCCAGGCTCATGTAGCTAGCTTTTTAGTTGACTGTCCTGCTTCCACATGGCATCTCTCTTTCACCTTTATAATTTTTACACACACTTTACATCATCTTGTTTGTATGTATATGCAGGTGTTATTATATATAGTCTGTATGCCACAGTGCATATATATGATATATATTTGTAAGGTAGACAGGATGATAAATAAATATGTATATGGGTGTAGGTACAGTATTTTAAGTTATTACTCTGAACTTCCCATTTGTCAGTGGTATAAAGAGTATACATACATCCCCTTGCTTAAGCCTAAGACCAAGGACCCTTCTGGTAGGTGAGTTCTTCCCCTCCCTTAACTCAGGCTTGATATCTAGCTTGTGTGTCTGCTGGCGTGTTAGTGAGTTTGTACTTGTACAGTGGGGTTTGTGCTTAAGGCTTCCTCCATGGAATTGAGATGGCACCACGGTAGCCAGTAACCATTTAGCCTGGCCCCCAGTAAGCCACCCCAGCTGACCTTCATCAAGACTTACACTCTGGGAAGAGCCATTACAACAGTTCTAAGACATATGCTTAAGAATAAACTCTACTGTTCACAACAACAAAATGTAATCATTTTTCTGAGAATGTGGTCTATATTTAAATAATGTTTAAAAAATATTTCATATGCCTGCTTTAGTTTTGTCCTTTTGTTTATACTACCTGCCTGATATATATCTGGATTCGCCCAAGATTTAGGGATGATCAAGTCTATACAAATATAGAATGAAAGCAGAAAGTTGCAGGGTAGATTTTTTATTTTCTAGAATAAGGATTTTCTCCTTTGATTTTTAAGGCAATGATTTAAAAAATTAATCCCGGTGATATATGGGAAGGTCCTCTAGATCTCAGAGGTTTGGAGGAATATTCTAAAGTTGACCAGGGTGGTCAGAGAGCAGTATGTCAAGTCGGATTTTTACAGTGGAGATAATAATAGCATCGATGCCATAGCATTGCTCTGTGGTAAACAAGAAAACACACGCAAAGCTCCTAGCTTGGTTCACGGCACATATTAAACTCCCAGCAAATGTAACCATCTTATGATCCTTTCACAATTATTGATTGCAGATCTTCTCAATGATCCTGTTTCATGATTAAGGCATATATAACAAAGCAGGAGCCACCCAAGGAAAAAGACAGCCTACTCAACTGAACTGACTTTCTCACTAAGAGGAACAATCTGTCCACAGAGGCCCTCATTCCCCTGATGCCTGTAGCCCACTTATTACACAAAGCTAGGCACACGCTGGGAAGCTCTGCTCTGTTCAGACTTGAGCAGGCCTGTTCTAATAAAAGCAGTTCAGAAGGCAGATCCGTTTTCTAGAAATGCCATCTCACTGCAGAACACATAACACTGAATTGTCATGTGAGCCAGTGAGGGGCTGGTACCAAATTTCAAGGTCAAGGCATGTTCCTTTGGCGGAACATAATCTTTAGATAGAAGTGTTTGCATTTAAAGATGAAATTCTTTTGGTCTAGAGTTACAGAAAGCAAGAATTATGAATATGCAAGGGAACAACTGTACCTACTTAAAGGTGTGAAGGCTGAAAGAGTCATAGGGATGATATGGGACAAGCCTAGGAATTTAAACTAAGTCAAGCCAGAGCTGAATTTCCTGCCCTTCTATTTTACCACCCAGAGCAGTGGATGGGCAGCTCGATCACCAGTTACCATTCATTAGCAATATTTTCTATTAAACTAGAAAGTCTACTCTCACCCACAGAAGTGTAACTCTTCTGTTTAAATGTGCATGGAAGCTGGGTGGTGGTGGTGCACACCTTTAATCCCAGCACTCGGGAGGCAGAGTCAGGGGGATCTCTGTGAGTTTGAGGCAAGCCTGGACTACAGAGGGAGTAGTCCAGTACAGGCTTCAAAGCTAAACAGAGAAACCATGTCTCGAATACTCCCCCGCCCCAAAAATAAATGTCCATGGAAATATGGTTCTATTTCGTCATCACTCTGATGAATAAAAAAAATGTTACAAGTAAGAAAAAAAATTGCGAAAGCTTTCTTTCAAATGGAGTGGAAACCTAGACAGCAGGATCACAGCCACAAACTGGACAGGGAGAACTGCTCCTACTGGATTGTGGTCGCCTGTTCCCAAGCCTCTCTGTAGCGCTTCCCTTTCGTCCCTCCTAGTAAATGCAGGTTACTTGTCTCTGCCCTAACCTGAGCTAGCCTGGGAATGTTCTTTGGTCAATGGAATAAGTGTAACATTCTAGGATTTTGAAAACATGACCTCATTTAGTTGCTGCTTATTGAAACAGGGCATGATGTATGTAGTTCAGGTTGGCCTCAGACTCTTTTAGTAGCTGAGGCTGGCTTTGAACTCCTGATCTCTTGCCATCATCCCCCAAGTTCTAGCATCTTAGGTATATGCTGCTATGCCTAGCTTTGCCCACATGAACTTTAAGATGCATTGTAGGTTCTACCTACCTCCTACCTCTGTGCAACACAGTGGTCCATCTTCCTGGTCACATTCAGTGCCTGCACC